TGTAGAATAATGCATGGAGGATGTAAGGTGACCCTCTTTGAACTTTTTTCTTAGTTGTTTCTGCACACAAAGGGCCACTAAACAATGATACAAAGAAGAATAAAACAAAAAGCTACTTCTTAGGCCAGAATGGGAAATATGGGACCAAATTTAACCTTTGCGGATCACCATATGTGTGCATATCCGTGGGTTTTTGTCGTTGTTTCATGAGTGATCATAATCGACAATAATCCTTTTTCATGTGGTGGTACCGTACATGGTGCAGCATGCGGTCCGCAATGGGTTGAGGAACCCGGAAAGCAAACTGTTACCACCATAACTACCGCAACTTATCATTGTTACCGAGCAAGTCGAAGATGCAACGATTAAAGGAATCCTTCACGGAAAAATCATGATTCTATTTCAGCCATAAATCACTGGCTTGAGACTCATTATCCACGATAAGAATGAAAAGAACAGAAATATTGCTTTTGTTTTGGTAAAAATTCGAAAAATCGAAAGGGCTGCTACGCGTTCAAAGTGCCCACGGACGTCTTTCACAAATGCTGGCGACGGGGATGCTTCCACTTGGTTCTTGGAGTGCCTTCACTAGAAACTCTTTCTGGCCTTCTGCTTTATTGCATTCACATCTTACACTTCTACTCCATCCTATTCTTCTATTCGATCGATTTGTCTCTACTCTTCGAAATCAGACAGACAGACAGAGAACTGTCCATAGCCCAGCAGCGATCTGAGCAAATATGACGCTTACTCAATTTTGTACTACGAAAAGGGAAGTGGGAGGAGTACGACAGAAGAAGGTCGACTTCAGCAACGCAACTAGCTGTGGCTATACCGAGCTGACCGGAGTAGTTATCTCTTTGATCAAAGTGCGATCCCCCCCAGGCGTAGGGCTTGCTCACGTAGTGATCAAAACAAAACTTAGTTTTCTTTATCAGTCCATTTTCTGGAACAGAAGAATTAATGGAACCACACTCCCAAATCAGTCCAGCCGACAGTTTTTTTTATCTGGTCCTGGTGCACCCTATCTGCGGTTTCTCTTTGGGGTCTATTCTGTTCAGTTATCTTGTCATGTGCATCTATCTCCGTCACTCTGAACTTATTCTGTACGATCTTCACTTTTGTAGTGGAAGTCTTTTACCTTTCGATATCCTAAACGTGAGATGATTTAGGTACAAAGACAGCTTTATCGAGAAGAACGAAGAAATCCAAAGGAGGCTGAATGTAACCATTCGGCAGGTTGAAGCAGATTTTCAATCCATCAAGGCAACGATACAGACGACTAGATGACAGTTCTCGATGAAAATTCCTGTTTACGTCAATTTCTATAATGCTCATTGATGGCTCCATAGTTACTGCTGCATTTCTGCTGGCTCTCCAAATAATTTGAAGGTAGAGCCCGAAATGGCACAGCTCAAATCATTGTTACTGCCTCCTCCTTCTCCATTCTGTGCCTATAACCCGTTCTATCTTCATGTCTTGTATTTTGACTTTAGCCTGATGGTCAAGTTGATCTGAAACATTTTCGAGCCATCCGGGACGAGCGCATTGAATTGTTTGTCATAATTAACATGTGCGTTGCCAGCATCCGTTGGAATCTGCTTTAATTTCATTGCGAGCTTTCGTTTTTCTCTTTTTTGTCTGAGCAAAATGTCTGGCCCATATATCGGCTTGTTCCCACAAGTCACGATATAAGTGGGCATTGTTCAATTTTCCCTTCAATTGTGAGGGAGCTAATTATGTTGCGCGTCCACAGAGGAAGTGATTCAACTCTTTTCATTTTCACCTTTTCTCCTTAATCAATTCATGTTTGTTTGTGATTGTTTACTGTTGTCAATAATGTGCGTATTTAGTATTGTTTGTGTTCACTTATGATTTCCAAACTACTAATCGATTCGACTTTATTCTTTCCGCGCACATGATAACCGTGCAACTTGCCACTACACCACTTCCGCCCTATTTTCACTTACATACTGAACTAACCCCTTGAAAGAAACTTTTCCACTTCTATGCCGATCTAACTCTTTGAAAGATAGTTAGCAGGCATTGTCAGCCAGTATTCAACAAGAAGACGTGAGACCAATCTTTATATTATCTAATGATGAAGGCACTTAAGAAACACCCTGAGATTGTGACAGTTTTGATATATACAAGTAGTAATGATCGCATAATCGTGAGCATAACAGCATCTGGGATAAAAGAAGGATAAAGTCGAATCGATTAGTAGTTTGGAAATCATAAGTGAACACAAATAATACTATGAAACACGCACATTATTGACAACAGTAAACA